CTCATCCCGCTTCAGAACATCTGTTTGTGCATCTGAAGATGACCCAAAAGCCAATGAATCTGCTCAGAGTAAAAATTTCAGCTTTCAAACTTCACCCTGCCCCTTTGCCCTGCCAGTAATAATTGTCTCCGTGTTGGCACAGATTCCAAGTTATGGCAGAAGTGATAAGCACACCCAAGCTACATCTGATATGCAAATCCGCAGTGATAAACACAGCATGTCACTTAGTGTTTAATTTTAATGTCATTCAATAGGTGAAGACCAAAACTACTGTGAAAGGAATGGCATATCTGTGCACGGGCATGGCGACAGCCCTCAGGTAACCCCTGCCACCTGCTTGTATGTGGTCCAAGACGTTGTAAGTGGTTAATGTAAACTAGTGCAGTAAAAAAGAAATACAGATTAAATTAGGAACATGCTGTGAAACAGCTATTCCACCGAAAATGAGATTCCCCAGAAAACGAAACTCCTTCAGTATCATCCTAATGGGAAGTTTCAAAAGGAGAAACCACTTTATGAAATATGCTGCTCCCTTCAAATCGGTTCCCTTACCACATCCAGCCCGTTACTAAGCCCAGACCTATTTCCAGAATGAGAACGACCAACGTTTAAACAAAAATACGATTACATTTTGGCCTGAGAAAACGTCTCTACCCTGACTATTTGGACTTTTAAAGAGCACGAGATTTACATTTTAAAGATGTGCACTTACACCGGACTGGCAACATGTTAAATGAAACAGAACGCAGATGGCCACTTTCTTCTAATCAGAAGAAATTTCCCACCTGTTTCAAGGTGAAAAAAAAAATTTCAACTTGAAAAATATCTGTATTATTTGTGTCTGCTGGTTTTTTTGGCACCGAGATCAAAATCTTCCCAAGGACAGCAGGCGCCCAATGCTCAAGACCAGTTTAGATGAAAAAACTATTTCTAAATTGCTCCTTTCCTCGAGTGGAGGGAAGGCTACTCCGCGGGTAGCGACCTTCAATGTCGTGCTTCAAGCTGGGGCAGAAAACTCTGCCGAGCCCTATCTGTCTGGACGAAGCGTACAGAAGAAACGGAGCGCCGACAGCTGCCCGTGACGTGTGCTCGCGCTGTGAAACACCAGATGAACATGCAGAAGGACTAGCAGTCCTGCAAGCACGCTCACTCTAAATATTTACCGTTTTGAAGCCCTGCTTCATTGTTGCTGGAGCAGCAAAAGTCAATCCTGCGTATGTACCTATGGCTGGTCTGCATACTGCTGCCGTGCAGCACAAAGCCTTATCTCCAACAGCTCCTATTGTGTACCAGAAACATGCACCGCACTCCGCCTGGGTTGGGAGAAGTTAAGTTATAACGCCGAGCGCAACGAAAAGCTGCATGTTTATGGCTCCGGTAAAAAAGGAGCCCTTCCATGGCGTGGTCGTAAAAGCCAGGGAGAGAGAGGCTCCCAGCTAAAATCGCCACCGCTGTCATAAGCAGCGCTGTCATAAGCAAACATGACAACTCAAGGACAAAATGTATTATACTAAATTAGGAAGTACAGGCGCGGGGCATGGATTTGTTCCGGGGGGATAACAGCCGGCTCTCAAACTCTGCTGAAGGTCTCCCCCCAGCAAGAACTGAAGACCTGAAGGTGTAAAACTTTGATTCATAAATATTGATGCGAATGAACTTGTTAAAAATTAACTGCCGCCGTTAAAGGTTTTGTATCCTTTCGACGTCCCATGATGCACTGCACTCCTGTGCTTTATATCAAGCCCTGAATTTCTGCATTCCTTTCCTCCATGCTTTTGTCATTTGTCTAAAAAAATTAAAAAAAAAAAAACCCAGCCCCACACACAAAGGCAGGATCTGTGCACATAATAATACCGCAGTTTGTAAGGAGACAAAGATGCTTGTGTTCCACTTCCAAGACCTTTTTACCCCAAAAAGAAAAAAAAAAACCATTTAATGACTCCAACGAGATCAGGATTTGAGCCCTGTTTAAGTTTTACTAAGCACGAAGGAATTATTAATTGATAACACGGCGCAGAGTTTTTGCAGGCACCAACGGGTTGTACGCCCCCAAAATCATTTATTTACATTGTTACAAGCCTTTTTGCATTACACCAGCTGCAGTTTTCATGTGGGGCAGCTTCTTGGGTTCAAATTAAAAATAAATAAATAAAAAATTGTAGACTGTGCCATCAGCACTGCAAAATGGGATTGCACAGGCAGATGATGGTTGCAGCTCTGAATAGGCGGGTCAGAAGAGGCAGCCATATACACATGTGAGCTTTATTAATAATAATAGAGCCGCACACACGTCAGATGCCAGGCTGCAGAGCCCAGCGCAGGGAGCGAACGCTTGTTCAAAGAAGATAACAGCTGCGGGGAACAAGCATTTGGATTTAATGCTGGCAAGACGGAAGAAAGCCAGCTTCTTTCCAGAACATGATCATTCCTATATAAGCCGACACCAAAGTTCACATCTTCATGGCAAGCCAAGTTGGATCTGCAAGCTGCTCGCCTCTCCGCTGGCGAGGGCTACCCTTGCCACTGCCTCCTGGCAGCCTGGTGAAAATGGATGTGGAAACTTCAGAGCAAACGTTTCTCCTTAGCTATGCCTACCGGCTGGCCGAGATAAAACACGCAGCCTGTCGAAGCGTTTTGTTTTATATAAATCATCTGCGGGCCTTGCGCTGGAAAGCGGCTCCGGCTCTCTCCCCCCTGCTAAACCATCAGGCTTTCTTCCCATCATCACGCAATCCCATTGTTATTGTGTTAGCTCTGGTGTGCAAACAGGGGGGAAAAAACCCCGTGTCATCTGTTAAACCGTACACCGCCCCTTCATTTCCACTGGAAGAGAATTTCCCAGATATACAGGAGGCAACAATGCTCCCGACACACATTTGGGGGGGGAGCGGAAACCCCCCTTGCAAAATTTCCACCACCTCCACCCTCTTATAAAAGCCTTGAAAAAATATCATGGCCTAATGGTGCAGTAAATATTTCCAAAACATGGCACCTGACCTCAGTCAAAGATGCAGAGAGCAGTGGGTGGGAGCTCTGCTCTCAGACCTCAAGGGGACAGTTTCAGCTTGTCGAGGGATATGAAATGCCAGAGGCAGCCACACTCCCACCCACCAGCTCCAGTCGGGACAGCGGCTGCGGAGAACCCAAGCCAGGGCCAGGGGCTTTCCGGCACCCCCCACCTGGGGAGCAGACCATGTGTCTCCTCTCTGCACACCTGACCCCCACGTTCGAACTGACAACCGCTTCGGGCCTCCGTGCAGAGGGGCGCCGAGAGCAATCTCTTTAAAAACCAAGACAGTCCTGTGTAAAACCCCAAACATTCACATGCCGCTACCCGAGCTGTCCGCCCCGCACTGCTGCCGAGTCCACCCGTGGCTCCCAAGGCGGCTTAATAAAACATCTCCCGCGCGGCACTCAGGCCGTTCAGAGCAGCTTCGCTCTGGACAGACAGTTACACAGAAGACATCAAACTGCATGCATGTACACACAAGCACACGCGTGCACATATATACACACACATGTACACACACATGTATGCACATGTACACACAGTGTGCATGTGTGTATATGTACACACACACGCATATATGCAGACACACACTCACTTATTTCTGTACATGTATGTATTTGCCTTCAAAACAATTCAATTTCTTCTTCAATTACTCAGTTTCAAAATTATGTCACACCAGCTCTACAAGGGAAAGCCGACACAGCTCCTAGCACACACAGGTTCACAAACAGGGTGGAATCAAACCCTTTCCTTTTTTAAAAAAGAAAAAGAAATCAAGGATTTCTTTTGCTGCACATTTATTTTAAGACCTCCACAACCCCGGAGGTTTAATAAGAGGTTTCTATGTCAGGCTTGGAAAAATGTCTGGGTTAAGCCCTTCTGAATGCAAACCCTACTTTGCTTATTATACGGCCTCTTTCCATCCGGAATTAAAACACACCTGCACACAATGCTCCGAAAATAAACCCAGTAGGATGAACTATTTCTGAAAGAAAGATAGAAAAAAAAAGAGAAGGCCCCCCCCCCCCCAACTTTTTTTTCCTTC